GCCGTTCTGGCTGCCCCGTTTTTGGTTTTTTGTGCTTGGAGCGGCCAAAAAGCCAGAGCCGGCCCTGGTCACCCTACAGGGGAGAGTTGTCCTGGGAAGTTTGGTAAAACTTGGAAAAGGAATGATGGTGTTTTGAAAGTTTTCCCATCCTTCCCTTTGCAGTGATACTCAGACCTCAGTGGTTTAGGAGCCAAATTATCGATCAGCATTACCCAAAAGAGCCACAGCAGTGTGAATTCATTGTTTCATTTACTATAGTCCTGTATATTCATATTTAAACAGTATGACGGGCAATAGTCACGTGGCTGCCTGTCTATCTATATCTATATCTATATCTATATCTGTATCGATAGATAGATAGTATTCTCACAGCAAAATGACTGACCAAGTATTATTTTTTTAAACAACTACAGCTGGTCAATATAGTAAAAGCATCCTGATTGGTTAATAGTGAAATGTTTCCATGTCCTGTGCTGTGTAGAGCTGCGGGAGACACACCAAAAGGCCACATGCGGCCCCGAGTGTCAGACTGTTCTAACGTGTATTTGGGCCAGTCATCTCTCCTGAGCGGCTTGGCTCAGGAAACACCTGATTTGTTTCGCTGACCTGTCTGAGAAGTTCCCTCTCTCGTCGAAGGGGACGGTGGTGCAAAGCAGAATGTCTCACAAGTTCTCGAGCGCGTCAGGATCCCCTGTTGTCAGGATGCTGTACCTTGATCAGCTCCAGTGGAATCCTCCCCCATTGGTCCCTTCATCCTTAGCCCCGCCCAGCTGTCATTCTCCTATTTGATCAGCATTGAAATGGTGTGGGTGGGAGGGACTGTGCAGTCTAGGGGGAAGAGTGGCCCCATGCACACTTTGTACCGTGCCCATCTCCGTTTAGAACAATTAAACTTTAGCCAGTCGGGCCCAGATCCTCGGAGGTATTTAGCTTCCTAACTTTTGTTGAAATCAGTGGGAATTAGGAGCCTAAGTACCTTGGGGGATCTGGACCTCAATTCCTAAATGTGCCATTTGGTGGTCAGGGTAGGATTGAGTGT